AATAATAATAATAATAATAATGACAACAATAACCACATGGCTCTCTGAATGTAGGTGAACTACAACTCCCAAACTACTACTACTACTATTATTATTGCAGCCCCCACAGGGTGGGGGCTGCAATAACAATAATAACAACCACGGGGCCCTCTGGTTGTAAGTGAACTACAACTCCCAAACGCAAGGTCAATGCCCACCAGACCCTTCCAGTGTTTTCTGTTCGTCGTGGGAGTTCTGTGTGCCAAGATGGGTTCAATTCCATCATTGATGGAACTCAGAATGCTCTTTGATTGGAGATGAACTATAAATCCCAGGAACTACAACTCCCAAATGTCAAAAGTCTATTTCCCCCAAATTCCACCAGTGTTCATATTTGGGCATACGGAGTATATGTGCCAAGTTTGGTCCAGATCCATCATTGTTTGAGTCCACAGTGCTCTCTGGATGTAGGTGGACTACAACTCCAAAACTCAAGGTCAACGCCCACCAAACCCTTCCAGTAATTTCTATTGGTCGTGTGAGTTCTGTGTGCCAAGACTGGTTCAATTTCATCATTGATGGAGCTCAGAATGCTCTTTGATTGTAGGTGAACTATAAATCCCAGCAACTACAACTCCCAAATGACAAGATCAACCCACCCCCAACCCCACCAGTATTCAAATTTGTCTGTTGAGGGCAAGTGGGAATGCTGCAATTGGCCAGCTTGGTTAGCACTGAATGGCCTTGCAGCTTCAAAGCCTGGCTGGTTGCTGCCTGGGAGAAGGGAATCCTTTGTTGGGAGGTGGAATGAAGTCCAGAGGGGGAAAAAGAATCCTTGCCTATTGGAGGCAAGTGGGAATGCTGCAATTGGCCTGCTTGATTAGCCCTGAACGGCCTTGCAGCTTCAAAGCCTGGCTGGTTGCTGAATGGCCTTGCAGCTTCAAAGTCTGGCTAGTTACTGCCTGGGGAGGGGTGACTCCTTTGTTGGGAGGTGGAATCATATCCAGGGCGGGAGAAAGAACTCTTGCCTGTTGGAGGCAAGTGGGAATGCTGCAATTGGACAGCTTGGTTAGCACTGAATGGCCTTGCAGCTTCAAAGCCTGGCTGGTTACTGCCTGGGAGAGGGGAATCCTTTTTTGGGAGGTGGAATGATGTCCAGGGCTGGAAAAAGAACCCTTGCCTGTTGAAAACAAGTGGGATTGCTGAAATTAGCAAGCTTGATTAGCACTGAACAGCCTTCCAGCTTCAAAGCCTGGCTGGTTGCTGAATGGCCTTGCAGCTTCAATGCCTGGGTGGTTACTGCCTGGGAGAGGGGGATCCTTTTTTGGGAGGTGGAATGATGTCCACGGCTGGAAAAAGAACCCTTGCCTGTTGAAGACAAGTGGGAATACTGCAATTGGCCAGCTTGATTAGCACTGAATGGCCTTGCAGCTTCAAAGCCTAGCTGCTTGCTGCCTGGGGGGAGGGGGGAATCCTTGATGAGCATTGAATACTTAGCAGTCTCCACTGATATATACAAACCCCATTTTCCTCCTATTTCCCAACAGACCCCACAACCTCTGAGAATGCTTGTCATAGATGGGGAGAAACGTCAGGAGAGAATGCTGCTGAAACATGCAAAACTCACAGCAACCCACTATTGTTGTTATTATTATTATTTTCCCCAATATAGGCCTGCTACTGTTGCTCTGCTCATTATTATGATTATTTTCCCCCAAATGTTGCTCTTAATAATATTATTATTGTTTTTTTATTATTATTATTATTCCCCCAAATGTAAACATCACAAATCCTTGATGAGCACTGAATACTTAGCAATTCCCACAGATATACAAACCCCATTTTCCTCCTATTTCCCAACAGACCCCCACAACCTCTGAGAATGCTTGCCCTAGATGGGGTTAGAAACGTCAGGAGAGAATGCTGCTGGAACATGCAAAACTCACAGCAATGAGCATTGAATACTTAGCAGTTCCCACAGACATACAAACCTAATTTCCCTCCTATTTCCCAACAGACCCCACAACCTCTGAGAATGCCTGTCATAGATGGGGGAGAAACGTCAGGAGAGAATGCTGCTGGGACATGCAAAACTCACAGCAACCCACGATTGTTATGATTTTTATTATGATTATGATTTTCCCCAATATAGGCCTGCTACTGTTGCTCTGCTCCTTATGATGATGATTATTTTCCCACAACCTCTGAGAATGCTTGCCATAGATGGGGGAGAAACGTCAGGAGAGAATGCTGCTGGGACATGCAAAAAAGTCACAGCAACCCACGATTGTTATGATTATTATTATGATTATTATTTTCCCCAATATAGGCCTGCTACCTTTGGGGAAATAATAATAATAATAATAATAATAATAATAATAATAATTTCCCAAATGTTGCTCTTAATATTATTATTATTGTTTATTATTATTGTTATTATTATTATTATTATTCCCCCAAATGTAAACATCACAAATCCGGGATAAGAGAGTAGCCAAGCTTGGAGAGCAACAGAAAATTGGCAAGCTTGATTAGCATCGAATGGCCTTGCAGCTTCAAAGCCTGGCTGGTTACTGCCTGGGAGAGGGGAATCCTTTTTTGGGAGGTGGAATGATGTCCAGGGCTGGAAAAAGAACCCTTGCCTGTTGAAGACAAGTGTGATTGCTGCAATTGGCAAGCTTGATTAGTACTGAATGGCCTTGCAGCTTCAAAGCCTGGCTGGTTGCTGAATGGCCTTGCAGCTTCAAAGCCTGGCTGGTTGCTGCCTGGGAGAGGGGAATCCTTTGTTGGGAGGTGGAATGATGTCCAAGGCTGGAAAAAGAACCCTTGCCTGTTGAAGACAAGCGGGAATGCTGCAATTGGCCAGCTTGATTAGAACTGAATGGTCTTGCAGCTTCAAAGCCTGGCTGGTTACTGCCTGGGAGAGGGGAATCCTTTGTTGGGAGGTGGAATGATGTCCAGGGCAGGAAAAAGAACTCTTGCCTGTTGAAGACAAGTGGGATTGCTGCAATTGGCAAGCTTGATTAGCACTGAATGGCCTTGCAGGTTCAAAGCCTGGCTGGTTACTGAATGGCCTTGTAGCTTCAAAGCCTGGCTGGTTGCTGCCTGGGAGAGGGGAATCCTTTGTTGGGAGGTGGAATGATGTCCAGGGCAGGAAAAAGAACCCTTGCCTGTTGAAGACAAGCGGGAATGCTGCAATTGGCCAGCTTGATTAGCACTGAATGGTCTTGCAGCTTCAAAGCCTGGCTGGTTACTGCCTGGGAGAGGGGAATCCTTTGTTGGGAGGTGGAATGATGTCCAGGGCAGGAAAAAGAACTCTTGCCTGTTGAAGACAAGTGGGATTGCTGCAATTGGCAAGCTTGATTAGTACTGAATGGCCTTGCAGCTTCAAAGCCTGGCTGGTTGCTGAATGGCCTTGCAGCTTCAAAGCCTGGCTGGTTGCTGCCTGGGAGAGGGGAATCCTTTGTTGGGAGGTGGAATGATGTCCAGGGCAGGAAAAAGAACCCTTGCCTGTTGAAGACAAGCGGGAATGCTGCAATTGGCCAGCTTGATTAGCACTGAATGGTCTTGCAGCTTCAAAGCCTGGCTGGTTACTGCCTGGGAGAGGGGAATCCTTTGTTGGGAGGTGGAATGATGTCCAGGGCAGGAAAAAGAACCCTTGCCTGTTGAAGACAAGCGGGAATGCTGCAATTGGCCAGCTTGATTAGCACTGAATGGTCTTGCAGCTTCAAAGCCTGGCTGGTTACTGCCTGGGAGAGGGGAATCCTTTGTTGGGAGGTGGAATGATGTCCAGGGCAGGAAAAAGAACCCTTGCCTGTTGAAGACAAGCGGGAATGCTGCAATTGGCCAGCTTGATTAGCACTGAATGGCCTTGCAGCTTCAAAGCCTGGCTGGTTACTGCCTGGGAGAGGGGAATCCTTTGTTGGGAGGTAGAATGACATCCAGGGCAGGAAAAAGAACTCTTGCCTATTGGAGAGTTGGAAGCAAGTGGGAATGCTGCAATTGGCCACCTTGTTTAGCAGTGAATGGCCTTGCAGCTTCAGAGCCCGGCTGCTTGTTGCCTGGGGGGAGGGGGGAATCCTTGATGAGCATTGAATACTTAGCAGTTTCCACAGACATATACAAACCCCATTTCCCTCCTATTTCCCAACAGGCCCCCACAACCTCTGAGAATGCTTGTCATGGATGGGGAGAAACGTCAGGAAGGAATGCTGCTAGAACATGCAAAACTCACAGCAACCCACGTTATGATTATTCTTATTTCCCCAATATAGGCCTGCTACTGTTGCTCTGCTCCTTATTATGATGATGATGATTATTATTTCCCCCAAATATTGCTCTTAATATTATTATTGTTGTTGTTTATTATTATTATTATTGTTTATTATTATTATTCCCCCAAATGTAAACATCACAAATCCTTGATGAGCATTGAATACTTAGCAATTCCCACAGATGTACAAACCCCATTTTCCTCCTATTTCCCAACAGACCCCCACAACCTCTGAGAATGCTTGCCCTAGATGGGGGAGAAACGTCAGGAGAGAATGCTGCTGGGACATGCAAAACTCACAGCAAGCCACTATTGTTATGATTATTATTATGATTATGATTTTCCCCAATATAGGCCTGCTACCTTTGGGGAAATAATAATAACAATAATAATAATAATTTCCCCAAATGTTGCTCTTAATATTATTATTATTATTATTGTTTATTATTATTATTCCCCCAAATGTAAACATCACAAAGTAGCCAAGCTTGGAGAGCAAACAGAAAACTAGAAACAACATAGAAGGATCCAGACAGCAAAAGAGAAGCCAGGAAGGAGACCCAGGAAAGCTTGGAAATTGCAAAATGCAATGCAAAGCAATGCAATGTAATGCAAGCCTTGCAATGCAAAAGCAAGGATTGCAATAGAATGCAATCCCAGGAAAGCAAAGCAAAGCCAAGCAATGGCTGCAATGCAGCCCAGTGCAGCCAGGCTAGGTCATGCAATCGCGCGTTAAGCCCCTCCTGACCTGTGCAGACGCCACTCCCGCTCTGGTCCCGGCTCAGGTCAACCTCCAGCCCACGCCATGGCTCGGCCCGGACGGATTCCCAGGCTCCTCTCCCCGCCTCGACTCCGAATCCCACTGCGCCACAGCGACACCTGCTGGATGGGAGGAGCCCGCGCTGGGAGGCAGGCCAAAGAGTGGCACAGAAGAGACAAGTATGATATAATATAATATAATATAATATAATATAATATAATATAATATAATATAATATAATATAATATAATATAATATAATATAATATAATATAATATAATATAATATAATATAATTATAATTAATATAATATAAATATTAATAATATAATATAATATAAATAATATAATTATATATAATATAATATATATAATATAATATAATATAATATAATATAATATAATAATAATATATAATATAATAAAATATAATAATAATATAATATAATATAATATAAAATAAATATATATAAATAATATAATATAATACAATATAATAATAAATATAATACAAAAATAAACAATATAATATAATATAATACAATAATATAATGCAATATAATATAAATAATATAATACAATAATAATAATAGAATATAATATAATATAATATAATATAATATAAATATCAATACTAATATAATATAAAATAAATATACAATATAATATAATATAATATAATACAATATAATATAATATAATAAAATAATATAATACAAATAATATAACAAATATAATATAATACAATAAATAATGAATAATATAATACAATATAATAATATAATATAATACAATACAATAAAATAATAAATATAATACATAATACAATAAATACATAATAAATAAAATATAATAATATAATAAATACAATGAATAATATATAATATACAAAATATAATAATAAATACAATACAATATAATAATAAATAATAAAATATAATAATATATAATACAATATAATATAATTAACACAATATACTACAATATAATATAGTTAATACAATATAATACAATATAATACAACATAATACAACATAATATAATTAATACAATATAATACAATTAATCTCCAGCAAAGGATCACCGCCTTGTCGGGGCGCTGGAGCTTGAGCACCTCAATGATGTCATGAGCGAAACCGTGAAGGGCCACCCAAGACGGGACGGTTGTGGCAGAGAGGTCAGACCAAGCGTGATCCCTGGGGAAGGCAATGGCAAACCACTCCAGTATCCTTGCCAAGAAAACTAAATGGACCAGTACAACCAGAGATATGTCGGTATGCCATTGGAAGATGGGACTCCCAGGTCGGAAGATGGCCAAAATGGTACTGGGGAGGAGCAGAGGATAAGTTCAACTAGCCCCAGATGTGATGACGCAGCTAGCTCAAAGCCGAAAGGAAGGCTAGCGGCCGACGGTACTGGAGGTGAACGACGACTCCGATGCTCTAAAGATCAACACACCATAGGAACCTGGAATGTAAGATCTATGAGCCAGGGCAAATTGGATGTTGTTATTGGTGAGATGTCAAGACTAAAGATAGACATTCTGGGGGTCAGCGAACTGAAGTGGACTGGAATGGGCCACTTGACATCAGATGACCACCAGATCTACTACTGCGGACAAGAGGAACATCGAAGAAATGGAGTAGCCTTCATAATTAATAAGAAATTCGCTAAAGCGGTGCTTGGATACAACCCAAAAAATGACAGAATGATCTCAATTCGAGTGCAAAGAAAGCCTTTCAAAATTACAGTGATCCAAATATACACCCCAACCATAGCTGCTGAAGAAGCAGTAGATCTGTTCTATGAGGATCTGCAGCACCTACTGGATAATACACCAAAAAGAGACATTATTTTCATTACAGGAGACTGGAATGCCAAGGTGGGAAGTCAAATGACAACAGGGATCACAGGCAAGCATGGTCTGGGAGAACAAAATGAAGCGGGACGCAGGCTGATAGAATTTTGCCAGGAAAACTCGCTGTGTATAACGAATACTCTCTTCAAACAACCTAAAAGACGGCTTTACACATGGACCTCACCAGACGGTCAACACCGAAATCAGATTGACTACATCCTTTGCAGCCAAAGGTGGCGAACATCCATCCAGTCGGTGAAAACAAGACCTGGGGCTGACTGTAGCTCAGATCACGAACTTCTTATTGCCCAATTTAGAATAAAACTAAAGAGATCAGGGAAAATACACAGATCAGTTAGATATGATCTCACTAACATTCCTAGCGAATATACAGGGGAAGTGAAGAACAGATTTGAAGGACTAGATTTAGTAAACAGAGTCCCAGAAGAACTATGGACAGAAGTCCGAGACATTGTTCAGGAGGCGGCAACAAAGTACGTTCCAAAGAAAAAGAAAACCAAGAAGGCAAAATGGTTGTCTGCTGAGACACTGGAAGTAGCCCAAGAAAGGAGGAAAGCAAAAGGAAACAGGGATAAGGGGAGATATGCCCAGTTAAATGCGCAATTCCAGAGGTTAGCCAGAAGAGATAAGGAACTATTTTTAAATAAGCAATGCATGGAAGTGGAAGAAGACAACAGAATAGGAAGGACAAGAGACCTCTTCCAGAAAATTAGAAACATTGGAGGTAAATTTCAGGCAAAAATTGGCATGATAAGAAACAAAGATGGCAGGGACCTAACAGAAGCTGAAGAGATCAAGAGAAGGTGGCGAAACTATACAGAAGATCTGTATAGGAAGGATAATAATATCGAGGATAGTTTTGACTGTGTGGTGAGTGAATTAGAACCAGACATCCTGAGGAGTGAGGTTGAATGGGCCTTAAGGAGCATTGCTAACAACAAGGCAGAGGGAGACGACGGGATCCCAGCCAAACTGTTTAAAATCTTGAAATAGGATGCTCTCAAGATGATGCATGCCATATGCCAGGAAATATGGAAAACACAAGAATGGCCATCAGACTGGAAAAAATCAACTTATATCCCATCCCAAAAAAGGGAAATGCGAAAGACTGCTCAAACTTCCGTACAGTGGCCCTTATTTCTCATGCCAGTAAGGTAATGCTCAAGATCCTGCAAGGAAGACTCCAGCAATACATGGAGCGAGAGTTGCCAGATGTTCAAGCTGGGTTCAGAAAAGGCAGAGGAACGAGAGACCAGATTGCCAATATCCGCTGGATAATGGAGAAAGGCAGGGAGTTTCAGAAAAACATCTACTTCTGCTTCATTGACTCTTCTAAAGCCTTTGACTGTGTGGATCATAATAAATTGTGGCAAGTTCTTAGTGGGATGGGCATCCCAAGCCACCTTGTCTCTTTCCTGATGCCAGTGGCAAGTTCTTAGTGGGATGGGCATCCCAAGCCACCTTGTCTCTCTCCTGAGGAATCTGTACAAGGACCAAGGAGCAACAGTCAGAACTGACCACGGAACAACAGACTGGTTCAAGATTGGGAAAGGCGTACGGCAAGGCTGCATACTCTCACTCAACCTTTTTAACGTGTATGCAGAACACATCATGCGAGGATGTGCGGGGCTGGATGAATGCAAAGCTGGGGTGAAAATTGCTGGAAGAAACATTCACAACCTCAGATATGCAGATGACACCACTCTGATGGCCGAAAGCGAGGAGGAGCTGAGGAGCCTTCTAATCAAGGTGAAAGAAGAAAGCGCAAAAGCCGGGTTGCAGCTAAACATCAAAAAAACCAAGATTATGGCAACAAGAATGATTGACAACTGGAAAATAGAGGGAGAAAACGTGGAGGCCGTGACAGACTTTGTATTTCTAGGTGCAAAGATTACTGCAGATGCAGACTGTGGCCAGGAAATCAGAAGACGCTTCCTTCTTGGGAGGAGAGCAATGTCCAGTCTCGATCAAATAGTAAAGAGTAGAGACATCAGACTGGCAACAAAGATCCATTGCCTAGTCAAAGCCATGGTATTCCCTGTAGTCACCTACGGATGTGAGAGCTGGACCTTCGGGAAGGCTGAGCGAAGGAAGATCGATGCTTTTGAGCTGTGGTGTTGGAGGAAAGTTCTGAGAGTGCCTTGGACTGCGAGAAGATCCAACCAGTCCATCCTCCAGGAAATAAAGCCCGACTGCTCACTGGAGGGAAGGAGACTAGAGGGAAAGCGGAAGTCCTTTGGCCACATCATGAGGAGACAGGAAAGCCTAGAGAAGACAGTTATGCTGGGGAAAGTGGAAGGCAAAAGGAAGAGGGGCCGACCAAGGGCAAGATGGATGGATGGCATCCTTGAAGTGACTGGACTGACCTTGAGGGAGCTGGGGGTGGTAACGGCCGACAGGGAGCTCTGGCGTAGGCTGGTCCATGAGGTCACGAAGAGTCGGAGACGACTGAACGAATGAACAACAACAACAATACAATTAATACAATATAATATAACATAATATAATTAATACAATATATTACAATACAATACAATACAATATAATATAATATAATTCAATATAATATAATATAATATATAATACAATATAATACAATATAATATAATACAATACAATACAATACAATATATAATACAATATAATACAATATAATATTATTATATTATTTATATAATATAATTAATATATTATACTATATTAATAATATAATATTTAATATAATATGCTATACTATATTAATAGTATAATATAGTATAATATTTAATATAATATTTATTATAATATATTATACTATGCTGTAGTATAATATAGTATATATTTATTATATAATATTATATAATTAATATATTATATTATATTAATAATATAATATAATAAATATACTATATTACAGTACAGTATGGTATTGTATACTATACTATAATATAATAATAAGTATGCTATACTATACTACAGTATAACATATTATAATATTTATTATAATTTAATATAATATCTATTACAATATTTATTATAATATAATATTTATTATGATATCTTATATTATACCGTGGTGTACTATAGCATAGTATCTTTATTATATAATATTATATAATTAATATATTAATCATATAATCAGTATACTATGCTATACTACAGTATAATATAATATATATTACTATATATTACTATATAGTAACTATAGTATATAGTATAGTTATTATATAGTAATATATATATAATATATTATTATATTTACTATAATATAATAATTATAGTAATATAATAATATATATTACTATATACTATAGTTACTATATAGTAACTATAGTATATAGTATAGTTATTATATAGTAATATATATATAATATATTACTATATTATACTATAATATAATAATATAGTAATATAATAATATATAATATATTAATATTATAATATATTAGTATAGTATATTATTAATTAATTATTATATTGATTTATAAAAGATAAAGATAATATACTATACTATACTGTGAAAAAGACATTAATAATGTTGTAGTATAATATATTATATTATATTTGCTGCACCAGCTCTATTATTATTATTAGATAATATAATATAATAAATAATTATAAAAATTATAAGTTATGGGTGTAGTATATTGCTTTAGATCAAAATATGAAAGGAGACTATACTATACTCTGAATCTATTTTATTATAAGATTAATAGTTACACAGCAGACATTATATATTATTATTATAATTATACTGACATAGAATTATTTATTATATAATTATTATATAATTATTATATTATATTATATTAATAATATAATATAATAAATATACTATACTATACTACACCATAGTATAATATAATATACTACACTATACTATAATACAATAAGTATACTATACTAATATAATATAATATAATATTTACTATTTACTAAATATACTATTATATATTATTATATTATATTATTATTCTCTACTACAGTATAGAATGAAAATATTATATATATATATATATATATATATATATATATATATATATACTATACCACAGTGTAATATAATATAATAAATATACTATACTATATTACACTATACTACACAATAGTATAAAATAATATACAGTACTATACTGTACTATACTACCGTATAGTATAGCATAGTATAACATAATTAATAATATAATATAATATAATATAATATAATATAATATAATATACACTATGCTATGCTATAGTATAGTATAGTATAGTATAATATACTCTGCTATACTACAGTATAATATAATAATATAATATAATATAATATAATAGGGAGAATATCAACCTCCAGGGTGCTGGGATTTGTAGTTTGGAGAATTATAGTGCCAAAAAAGTATACAGTATAGAATAAAAATATAATATAATATGATATATCACAGTGTAATATAATATAATATAAGAAATATACTATACTATATTACACTATACTACACAATAGTATAAAATAATATACAGTACTATACTGTACTATACTACCGTATAGTATAGCATAGTATAACATAATTAATAATATAATATAATATAATATAATATAATATAATATAATATACACTATGCTATGCTATAGTATAGTATAGTATAGTATAATATACTCTGCTATACTACAGTATAATATAATAATATAATATAATATAATATAATAGGGAGAATATCAACCTCCAGGGTGCTGGGATTTGTAGTTTGGGGAATTATAGTGCCAAAAAAGTATACAGTATAGAATAAAAATATAATATGATATATCACAGTGTAATATAATATAATAAATATACTATGCTATATTACACTATACTACACAATGATATAAAATAATATACTGTACTATACAATACTATACTATAGTACCGTATAGTATAGCATAGTATAACATAATTAATATAATATAATATAATATATACACTATGCTATGCTATAGTATAGTACACTATAGTATAGTATAATATACTCTGCTATACTACAGTATATAGTATAATATAATATAATATAATAGGGAGAATATCAACCTCCAGGGTGCTGGGATTTGTAGTTTGGAGAATTATAGTGCCAAAAAAGTATACAGTATAGAGTAAAAATATAATATAATATGATATATCACAGTGCAATATAATATAATATAATATAATATAATATAATATAATATAATATAAGGGAGAATATCAACCTCCACGGTGCTGGGATTTGTAGTTTGGGGAATTATAGTGCCAAAAAAGTATACAGTATAGAATGAAAATATAATATAATATAATATATCACAGTGTAATATAATATAATATAATATAATATAATATAATATAATATAATATAAGGGAGAATATCAACCTCCAGGGTGCTGGGATTTGTAGTTTGGGGAATTATAGTGCCAAAAAAAGTCACTTTTCCAAGCCATGCTACTGTTTGGACCTCTGCTTCTTGGATGGCAAATCCCATTACTCCTCATCCCTAGTTTGGGCCGGCTGGGATTTGTAGTCCGGCAACCCCTGAAAGCGCACGATTTCCTGTTTTTCTGGGATTTACGTTCTATGTAAAGAGATGAGCTAAATTTAGCCTTGCAAAGTTTGCTTTTCTCCCTCCCTCCGCTTTGGGAAGGTTTGCCAAGCAAGAGATAAGGCCCCTTATTGTCGAGGCTGCAATTGCATCCTAATCAATGGAGATAAATCAATAGAGCTTCCAGAGATAGAAGCAGTCTACCCCTAAATAAGAATTTTAAAAAGATTTTAAAGCATTCCTTCTCAGTTTCCTGGCCAGATGTTGACTCTTCTGGATTGGTGTTAGCCTTGGGTTGGGTTGGGGATTATTGATTTTGTCATTTGGGAGTTGTAGTTGCTGGGATTTATAGTTCACCTACAACCAAAGAGCATGCTGAACACCACCAATTATAGAATTGGGCCAAACTTTCCACACAGAACTCCCATGACCAACAGAAAAATACTAGAACGATTTGGTGGGCATTGACCTTGTGTTTGGGAGTTGTAGTTCACCTACATCCAGAGAGCACTGTGGACTTAAACAATGATAGATAAGGACCAAACCTGGCACTAATACTCAGTATGTTCAAATGTGGAGTTTGGGGAAAATAGACCTTGACATTTGGGAGTTGTAGTTGCTGGGATTTATAGTTCACCTACAATCAAAGAGCATTCTGAACTCCACCAATGATGGAATTGAACCAAACTTGGCTCACGGAACTCCCTTGGCCAACAGAAAATACTGGAATGATTTGGTGGGTGTTGACCTTGTGTTTGGGAGTTGTAGTTCACCTACATCCAGAGAGTGCTGTGGACTCAGGCAATGATGGATCTGGACCAAACTTCTCATGAATACTCAATATGCCCAAATCTGTAGAGTTTGGGGAAAATAGACCTTGACATTTGGGAGTTGTGGTTGCTGGGATTTATAGTTCACCTACAATCAAAGAGAATTCTGAACCCCACCAATGATAGAATTGAACCAAACTTGGCACACAGAACTCTCATGACAAACAGAAAATACTGGAAGGATTTGGTGGGCATTGACCTTGTGTTTGGGAGTTGTAGTTCACCTACATCTAGAGAGCACTATGGACTCAAACAAAGATGGATCTGGACCAAACTTAGCACAAATACTCAATATGTACAAATGTGAACACTGGTGGAGTTTAGGGAAAAAAGTCCTTGACATTTGGGAGTTTTAGTTGCTGGGATTTATAATTCGCCTACAATCAAAGAGCATGCTGAACCCCACCAATGATAGAATTGGGCCAAACTTTCCACACAGAACCCCCATGACCAACAGAAAATACTGGAAGGGTTTGGTGGGCATTGACCTTTGGGAGTTGTAGTTCACCTACATCCAGAGAGCACTGGACTCAAGCAATGATGGATCTGGACCAAACTTGGTACGAATACGCAGTACACCCAAATGTTAACACTGGTGGAGTTTGTGGGGAATAGACCTTGACATTTGGGAGTTGTAGTTGCTGGGATTTATAGTTCACCTACAATAGCACCACCCAAAGATTCTGCCCAAAAGAGTCGAGACCAATATCATAGAGTTCACTGAGAAATATTTTATTGCTTTGAGACAGGAGAAAGGTCCTCAAGACCTTTTCCAGGATGATTTGGTTCGCTACGTGGATGATACGGCTTTGTTTGCCACCGACAGCAAGGGAGGATTTAGTGGCAGTGGACACTTCCATCACCATGGCTGTGGCAGTGACCGGAGCCGCCGTCGCTGCCAAGTTCGTGGGATCGTCTGTGGTAGTCGTTCAGAGCCAACACCATCACCACCAGCCACTCGGTGAACTTGAGTTTCTGGTCGTTGTTCTTGTCTGCCTTCTTGAACAATTGCTCGATGTAGCCATTTATGTCAAGATTGGGCTGCCGAGAGAGAGAAAGAAAAAAATGAAACAATGGAGAACAAAAAGGATGCAAATTTCTCTGGTGAGAGCTTTGTATGACCTAGAACCCAAAGCTTGTAACACCTAGAACCTGGCCCTTAAGGACCCCTAAATGTATTAGAACACAAGGAGGGGGCTCAGCAGAAAGATGCCAGGGTGCTGGGTATTCTGCCTCAGAGGGTTTCCCTGGGAAGAGTCTTGCATGACCTAGAACCCAAAGCTTGTAACACCTAGAACCTAATCCATTAGGACCCCTATAAGTATTAGAACATAAGGAGGGGGCTCAGCAGAAAGATGCCGGGGATGCTGGGTATTCTTCCTCAGATGGTTTCCCTGGTGAGAGCCTTGCATGACCTAGAACCCCTAAGTGTGTAACACTGAGAACATAGCCCTTAGGAATCACTATATGTATGAGAATACAATGAGGGGGCTCAGCAGCAGATCTCAGGGATGCTGGGGATTCTGCCTCTGAGGATTTCTCTGGTGAGAGCCTTGTATGACCTAGTACCCAATACCTGTAACACCTAGAATCTAGCCCTTAAGAACCCCTGTATGTATTAGAACACAAGGAGAGGCTCAGCAGCAAGATGCTGGGGATGCTGAAAATTCTGCCTCTGAGTATTTCTCTGGTGAGAGCCTTGTATGACCTAGTACCCAAAGCCTGTAACACCTAGAATCTAGCCCTTAAGAAGCTCTGTATGTATTAGAACACAAGGAGGGGGCTCAAAAGCAAGATGCCAGGGATGCTGGGGATTCTGCCTCAGAGGTTTTCTCCAGTGAGAGCCTTTTATGGCCTAGAACCCAAAGTTGGAACACATAGAACCTAGCCCTTAGGAATCACTATATGTATAAGAACACAAGGAGGGGGCTCAGCAACAAGATGCCAGGGATGCTGGGTATTCTGCCTCAGAGGGTTTCCCTGGCATGACCTAGAACCCCTAAGCGTGTAACACTGAGAACATAGCCCTTAAGGACCCCTATATGTAAGAATACAAGGAGGGGGCTCAGCAGCAAGATGCTAGGGATGCTGGGGATTCTGCCTCTGAGGATTTCTCTGGTAAGAGCCTTGTATGACCTAGTATCAAAAGCCTAACATTGAGAACCTAGCCCTTAAGGACCCCTATAAGTATTACAACACAAGGAGGGGGCTCAGCAGAAAGATTCCAGGGATGCTGGATATTCTTCCTCAGAGGGTTTCCCTGGTGAGAGCCTTGCATGATCTAGAACCCCTAAGCGTGAAACACTGAGAACATAGCCCTTAAGGACCCCTATATGTATTAGAACACAAGGAGGGGGCTCAGCAACGAGATGCTAGGGATGCTGGGGATTCTGCCTCTGAGGATTTCTCTGGTGACAGCCTTGTATGACCTAGAACCCCTAAGCGTGTAACACTGAGAACATAGCCCTTAAGGACCCCTATATGTATTAGAACACAAGGAGGGGGCTCAGCAGCAAGATGCTAGGGATGCTGGGGATTCTGCCTCTGGGGATTTCTCTGGTGAGAGCCTTGTATGACCTAGTACCCAAAGCCTGTAACACCTAAAACCTAGCCCTTAAGAAGCTCTGTATGTATTAGAACACAAAGAGGGGGCTCAGCAGCAAGATGCCAGGGATGCTGGGGATTCTGCCTCAGAGGGTTTCCCTGGTGAGGGCACTGTATGACCTGGAGCCCAAACTGTGTTACACCTAGAACCTAGCCCTTAAAAACCCCTATATGTATTAGAACACAAGGAGAATGCTTGGGGGGTATACTCATGTATTTGACATTCCTATGTGTCTGAGAACACAAGGAGAATGCAAATGTTTTTCTGGTAGGAGACTTATGTGACCCAGAACTTGAGTCTTGTAACACCTAGAATCTAAACCTTGAACTGAAGGGTATTTTGGGGCATGTCTTTAGTGTTCCTATATTCCTTAAGGCACAAAGAATTCATCCACCTGCTAGAGCTGAAATATAGACGAATTCAAATCCCATATCACAACATAGAACCTTGAATTGATCATGCCTAGAATGCTCCACCTCAGGGATTTAAAACACTGGCTAAAAATCCCATTGTGACCTTGCAACGTCTCACCTGAAGATCTCAAATGTTTGGCTACAAGTTTGTGATATAGAAATAATCTGTAACTTAAGAAGTACTGTTTAAAGATGAAGGAACTCATGTGACACCTAGAACCAGATACTTCTCACATCTAGAACTTTCCTCCTAAAGGCTTCAAACACTGATGTAGATGGTGGTGGGGTATAAATAAAGATGATGATAATGATGATGATGATGATGATGATGATGTAGCCCTTCAGATGCCCACGGATTAGAAGACCTCTTTCTCCTGAGGGGAACAACCAATAGCTGTGGAGATGGTCATGGCTATTTTGATCTAGAACATTAACACACAAACTCTAATTCTCTCAATGTTTGGACTCAATCTTCTAAAGACCTTGACTACCCGGAGTTCAAAACACCTGAGGGAACAACGAATCTAGAACATCATCTAGAACTCACCGGCATAGTTCTCTTCAAGAATTCCCCAGCCTGTTCCTTCATCATCTTCTGAAACTCTGCCTTCTGGAGGTAGTCATCGGTTGGCTTCAGGACGGAGTACTGGTGGAAGATGTCGACCATACATACCATGGCATTTTCCATGTCGGTCCTCATCTTGTTGAGTTTTGAGAGGAGCTAGAAGAAGGAAGAGAACATTGGAGGGGGACCAGAAATAGGGGAACTTGTGAAACTACAATTTCCAGGACTCCATAGATGCAAGGCATCTAGAAGGATCCTACACGCCTACGCAAAAGAACTCCAACTCCCCCAAAATTCGGCCAAGAAAAGGCAAAATACCTTGTCAAACTACAAATCCCAGGATTGCAGTCTCAAGCTGCACTCATTCTACAGTGCCAGTTACAACCTTCTTCCACTTTTCCTCCTGCGTTTAGTTTTAATTTCCGTTCTAAAGTTAACGCAGTCCGGCGCCAATTTAATTGCTACGGTTCAATATTGCGGCATTGTGGGAGCTGTAGTTTGGTGAGGCACGAGTACTCCTTGGCAAGGAAGGCTAAAGACGTTGTAAAACTACAGCTCCCTGGATTCCATAGCATTGAGCTATGACAGCTCAGTCGGTACCAAACTATAGTGTAATCCTGGGAGATGTAGTTTTACAATCCCTTTCCCCTTCCGTGCCCAAGAATGCTGGTACCTTCCCAAGCTACAACTCCCAGGAGTCAAATTGCATCAATTCTGCAATGTAGACGAACCCAAAAGGGGTCAACTATCCCACCAAACTACAACTCCCAGGGTTCAATAGCATTCAGCCATGGCAGGTCAATCGGTACCAAACTAAAGCGTAATCCTGGGAGTTGTAGTTTTGCAATCTCTTTCCCCTTCTGTGCCCAAGAGTGGTGGTACCTCCCCAAACTACAACTCCCAGGAGTCAAATTGCATCAGTTCTGCCATGCAGATGAACCAAAAGGGGGTCAAGTAACTCACTGAACTACAACTCCCAGGGTTCTGTAGCATTCAGCCATGGCAACTCAGCGGTACCAAACTACAGCGTAATCCTGGGAGTTATAGTTTCACAATCTCTTTCCCCTTCTGTACCTAAGAGTACTCAATCGGTACGAAACTAAAGCATAATCCTGGGAGTTGTAGTTTTACAATCTCTTTCCCCTTCCATGCCCAAGAGTGCGCAATCTGGACCAAACTACAGCATAAACCTGGGAGTTATAGTTTCACAAACTCTTTCCTCTTCCGTGCCTAAGAGTATTCAATCGGTACCAAACTACAGCATAATCCTGGAAGTTGTAGTTTTACAATCTCTTTCCCCTTCCATGCCCTAGAGTGCTGGTACTTCCCCAAACTACAACTCCCAGGAGTCAAATTGCATCAATTCTGCCATGTAGATGAACCAAAAGGGGGTCAAGTAACCCACTGAACTACAACTCCCAGGGTTCTGTAGCATTCAGCCGTGGCAACTCAGCGGTACCAAACTACAGCGTAATCCTGGGAGTTATAGTTTTACAATCCCTTTCCCCTTCAGTGCCCAAGTGTGCTGGCACCTCCCCAAGCTACAACTCCCAGGAGTCAAATTGCATCAATTCTGCCATGTAGACGAACCCAAAAGGGGTCAACTATCTCACCAAACTACAACTCCCAGGGTTTTGTATCATTCAGCGATGGCAGCTCAATTGGTATCAACCTAAAGCGTAATCCTGGGAGTTTTAGTTCTACAATCTCTTTCCCCTTCCATGCCCAAGAGTGCTCAATCGGTACCAAACTACAGCATATTCCTGGGAATTGTAGTTTTGCAATCTCTTTCCCCTTCCATGCCCAAGAGTGTTGGTTGCTGCCCAAACTACAACTCCCAGGAGTCAAATTGCATCAATTCTACTATGTAGACGAACCCAAGGGGAGGGGGTCAACGATTTCACCAAACTACAACTCCCAGGGTTCTGTATCATTCAGCCATGGCAACTCAATTGGTACGAAACTACAGCGTAATTCTGGGAGTTGTAGTTCTACAATCTCTTTCCCCTTCTGTGCCCAAGAGTGCTCAATCGGTACCAAACTACAGCGTAATCCTATGAGTTGTAGTTTCACAATCCCTTTCCCCTTCCGTGCCCAAGAGTGCTGGTACCTACCAAAACTACAACTCCCAGGAGTCAAATTGCATTAATTCTACCATCCTGGGAGTTATAGTTTTCCAATCTCTTTCTTCTTCCGTGCCCAAGAGTGCTGGTACCTACCAAAACTACAACTCCCAGGAGTCAAATTGCATTAATTCTACCATCCTGGGAGTTGTAGTTTTACAATCTCTTTCTTCTTCCGTGCCCAAGAGTGCTGGTACCTACCAAAACTACAACTCCCAGGAGTCAAATTGCATTAATTCTACTGTCCTGGGAGTTGCAGTTTTACAATCTCTTTCCCCTTCCGTGCCTAAAAGTACTGGCACCTACCAAAACTACAACTCCTAGGAGTCAAATTCTATTAATTCTACCATCCTGTGAGTTGTAGTTTCACAATCTCTTTCCCCTTCCGTGCCCAAGAGTGCTGGTACCTACCAAAACTACAACTCCCAGGAGTCAAATTGCATTAATTCTACCATCCTGGGAGTTATAGTTTTCCAATCTCTTTCTTCTTCCGTGCCCAAGAGTGCTGGTACCTACCAAAACTACAACTCCCAGGAGTCAAATTGCATTAATTCTACCATCCTGGGAGTTGTAGTTTTACAATCTCTTTCTTCTTCCGTGCCCAAGAGTGCTGGTACCTACCAAAACTACAACTCCCAGGAGTCAAATTGCATTAATTCTACCATCCTGGGAGTTGTAGTTTTACAATCTCTTTCTTCTTCCGTGCCCAAGAGTGCTGGTACCTACCAAAACTACAACTCCCAGGAGTCAAATTGCATTAATTCTACTGTCCTGGGAGTTGCAGTTTTACAATCTCTTTCCCCTTCCGTGCCTAAAAGTACTCAATTGGTACCAAACTACAGCCTAATCCTGGGAGTTATAGTTTTACAATCTCTTTCCCCTTCCGTGCCCAAGAGTGCTGGTACCTACTAAAACTACAACTCCCAGGAGTCAAATTGCATGAATTCTACCATCCTGAGAGTTGTAGTTTTACAGTCTCTTTCCCCTTCCGTGCCCAAGAGTGCTGGTACCTACCAAAACTACAACTCCCAGGAGTCAAATTGCATCAATTCTACCATCCTGAGAGTTGTAGTTTTATAATCTCTTTCCCCTTCCATGCCCAAGAGTGCTCAATGGTACCAAACTATAGCGTAATCCTGGGAGTTGTAGTTTTGCAATCTCTTTCCCCTTCCGTGCCCAAGAGTGCTGGCACCTACCAAAACTACAACTCCTAGGAGTCAAATTCTATTAATTCTACCATCCTGTGAGTTGTAGTTTCACAATCTCTTTCCCCTTCCGTGCCCAAGAGTGCTGGTACCTACCAAAACTACAACTCCCAGGAGTCAAATTGCATTAATTCTACCATCCTGGGAGTTGCAGTTTCACAATCTCTTTCCCCTTCTGTGCACAAGAGTGTTCAATCGGTACCTAAACTACAGTTTAATCCTGGGAGTTATAGTTTTACAATCTCTTTCCCCTTCCGTGCCCAGGAGTGCCGGTACCTCCTCAAACTACAACTCCCAGGATCCCATAAACTTGAGCCACAGCAGTTCAGCTGCATCGGTCCTTTGGGTACAGCTACACTATGGAATTTATAGTTTTACAATCTCTTTCCCCTTCCGTGCCCAGGAGTGGCGGTACCTCCCCAAACTACAACTCCCAGGATCCCATAGCCTTGAGCCACGGCAGTTCAGCTGCATCGGTCCTTTGGGTACAGCTACACTATGGAATTTATAGTTTTACAATCTCTTTCCCCTTCCGTGCCCAGGAGTGGCGGTATCTCCCCAAACTACAACTCCCAGGATCCCATAGCCTTGAGCCACGGCAGTTCAGCTGCATCAGTCCTTTGGGTACAGCTACACTATGGAATTTATAGTTTTACAATCTCTTTCCCCTTCCGTGCACAAGAGTGCCGGTACCTCCCCAAACTACAACTCCCAGGATCCCATAGCCTTGAGCCACGGCAGTTCAGCTGCATAATTCCAACATTTATGGAATAAGTGTAGTTTGGCACCACTCGAACTGCCATGGCTCAAGGCTATGGAATGCTGGGAGTTGTAATTTGACAAGGTCTTGAGTTTTCCCTGCCCGAGAGCACCCAAAGTACATCTCCTAGGAGTGCGTAGCCTTGAGCTAAAGCAGTTCAGGTGGTGCGCCACAGCTCAAGGCTATGGAATCCTGGGAGTTATAGTTTGACAAGGTCTTGAGCTTTCCCTGCCCAAGAGCACCCAAAGTACATCTCCGAGGATGGCGTAGCCTTGAGTTAAAGCAGTTCAGGTGGTGCGCCACAGCTCAAGGCTATGGAATCCTGGGAGTTGTAGTTTGACAAGGTCGTGAGCTTTCCCTGCCCAAGAGCACCCAAAGTACATCTCCTAGGATGGCGTAGCCTTGAGCTAAAGCAGTTCAGGTGGTGCGCCACAGCTCAAGGCTATGGAATCCTGGGAGTTATAGTTTGACAAGGTCTTGAGCTTTCCCTGCCCAAGAGCACCCAAAGTACATCTCCGAGGATGGCGTAGCCTTGAGTTAAAGCAGTTCAGGTGGTGCGCCACAGCTCAAGGCTATGGAATCCTGGGAGTTGTAGTTTGACAAGGTCGTGAGCTTTCCCTGCCCAAGAGCACCCAAAGTACATCTCCGAGGATGGCGTAGCCTTGAGTTAAAGCAGTTCAGGTGGTGCGCCACAGCTCAAGGCTATGGAATCCTGGGAGTTGTAGTTTGACAAGGTCGTGAGCTTTCCCTGCCCAAGAGCACCCAAAGTACATCTCCTAGGATGGCGTAGCCTTGAGCTAAAGCAGTTCAGGTGGTGCGCCACAGCTCAAGGCTATGGAATCCTGGGAGTTATAGTTTGACAAGGTCTTGAGCTTTCCCTGCCCAAGAGCACCCAAAGTACATCTCCGAGGATGGCGTAGCCTTGAGTTAAAGCAGTTCAGGTGGTGCGCCACAGCTCAAGGCTATGGAATCCTGGGAGTTGTAGTTTGACAAGGTCGTGAGCTTTCCCTGCCCGAGAGCACCCAAAGTACATCTCCTAGGGGTGCATAGAGCCTTGAGCTAAAGCAGTTCAGGTGGTGCCAGACTCCATCAATGCTACAATAGCCGGGGTCAGACTAGATGACCTCTAGGGTGCCCAGACTTACCAGACGTCAACGAAAGGTATCAGATCTGGACGGAGCGGAGATGCTTCCTCCTGATCCGGACGGCTTTTATACTCTTCCCGAGTGGTGGAGTTGCGTTACCGGCCCCTCCTTGCGCTCCTCTTCCTTCCTCCTTTGCAAAGTGTTTGACGTTGTGCAACTGTCACGCCCCGATGTCTAAATCCGTGTTTCGGCAAAAGGTGCCACCAAGTGCAAACCCGACGGGTGGATGAGTCTCTTCCCTCTTCCAAACCTTTGGCACGAGAGCATTGTTGTTTCTTTGCACAGCCGGATGGTGACCAAACCTTTACGCTAAGGCCGAGCCGTGGAGCAAGACGTGGTTGCCCCACATTTTGCGCCCGAGCCTCGTTTTTGTGCAACCGAAGACACGGCACAAGGAACGCAACACAATCTTGCACTACACAATCCTTGCTGTTTGATACAATGGGACCCTGGGATCTGTAGTTTGTTCTGGGCCCACTTTAAATATCGCTATTCCGTTCTATTGTACCCTGGGATCTGTAGTTTGTCATAGTCAGCCATGGCTCCGTGCTATGGGATATTGAACTCTTGGGATCTGTAGTTTGTTGCACTCCCAGTGTTCGACCCTGCTACAACCACCATTGCTTCATTTTATGGAATCTTGGGATCTGTAGTTTGTTCAAGAGCCAGAGTTCAATCCTGCTGCAACTACCATTCTTCCATTCTATGGAATCTTGGGATTTGTAGTTTATTGCAATGCCTGTTCGACCCAGCTATACCTACCATAGCTCCATTCTATGGAATCTTGGGATCTCTAGTTTGTTGCAATGTGAGTTTGACCTTGCCACAACTGCCATAGCTCCATTGTATGGGATCTGTAGTTTGTTGCAATGACAGAGTTTGATCCTGCTACAACTACCATGGCTCCATTCTATCGAATCTTGGGATCTGTAGTTTGTTGTAGTCCCAGAGTTTAACCCTGCTACAACTACCATAGCTCCATTCTATGGAATCTTGGGATCTGTAGTTTGTTGCAATGCCTGTTCGACCCTGCTATAACTACCATAGCTCCATTCTATGGAATCTTGGGATCTCTAGTTTGTTGCAATGTGAGTTTGACCTTGCCACAACTGCCATGGCTCCATTCTATGGAATCTTGGGATCTATAGTTTGTTGCACTCCCAGAGTTCGACCCTGGTACAACTACCATCAATAAATACATTGGAATCTTGGGATCTGTAGTTTGTTGCAAAGCCAGAGTTCGACCCTGCTACAAGTACCATCAATCAATACTATGGAATCTTGGGATCTGTAGTTTGTTGCACTCTCAGAGTTCGACTCTGCTACAACTACCATCAATCAATGGAATCTTGGGATGTGTAGTTTGTTGCAGTGTCAGAGTTCGACCCTGCTACAAGTACCAACAATCAATACTATGAAATCTTGGGATGTGTAGTTTGTTGCACTCTCAGAGTTCGACTCTGCTACAACGACCATCAATCAATACTATGGAATCTTGGGATGTGTAGTTTGTTGCAGTGTCAGAGTTCGACCCTTCTACAACTACCATGGTTCTATTCTATGGAATCTTGGAATCTGTAGTTTGTTCAAGAGCCAGATTTGACCCTGCTACAACTACCATCATACTATGGAATCTTGGGATCTGTAGTTTGTTGCAGTGTCAGTGTTCGACCGTGCTACAACTACTATGGCTCCATTCTATGGAATCTTGGGATCTGTAGGTGAAACGTCAGGAGAAACTATTTGGCATTCGAACCATAGAGAACTAATGCCATGAGATAAGTCAGGATGGAAGTCTAGACATCTCCCAAACGCCTTTTCTCTCTGGGCCTTGACCAAATAGCAATGGCTCCCGACCTGGGGCACGTAGCACCTTGGTGATAAGCATCAACAGGTGTCTTCAAGGAGGAACCGGCCAAGGACTCTCTCCCTGGAGCGTGGGAGGAGATGCAGATTGTCTTTGGCAGTGAGGGTGAAAGCGGTAGACTTCAAACGAGAGCTACTCGTAGTTTACTCTTCCTCAATGTTGGAGTCTTGTTGGCACACCTTGGTGGATCTCTTCTTGCCAAGTCCTTTCCTGAGCAAGACAATGTTGACAGAGATGGACCAAAATCTGACACAGAGAATAGCGAGAGAGATGGAACGATCCTCGATATTATAGACAATGCCAACCATCCAGAATAGACAACACGGAACCAGACAGAGCAATCCTGGTGTTGACCATATTGGGTTTAGAACATTGGCTAAAAATCCTGTTGTGACCTTGAAACGTCCCACTTGAAGATCTCATATATTTAGCTTCAAGTTTATGATATAGAATTTATCTGTAACTTAAGAAGTACTGTGTCAAGATGAAGGAACTCATGTGACACCTAGAACCAGATACTTCTCACATCTCCTCCTAAAGGCTTCAAACCCTGATGTAGCCCTTGGATGCCCACGGATTAGAAGACCTCTTTCTCCTAACGGGAACAACCTATGATGGCCATGGCTATTTTGATGTAGAACATTAACACCCAATCTCTAGTTCTCTCAATAAGTTTGGACTCCATCTTCTAAAGACCTTGACTACCCAGAGTTCAAAACACCTGAGGGAACAATGAATAACTCATGTGACACCTAGAACCAGGCATGTGACACCTAGAACCTCTCACATCTCCTCCTAAAGGCTTCAAACCCTGATGTAGCCCTTCAGATGTCCACGGATTAGAAGACCTCTTTCTCCTAATGGGAACAACAATAGCTATGGAGATGGTCATAGCTATTTTGATCTAGAACAGTAACACCCAATCTCTAGTTCTCTCAATAAGTTTGGACTCCATCTTCTAAAGACCTTGACTACCCGGAGTTCAAAACACCTGAGGGAAACACTGAATCTAGAACATCATCTAGAACTCACCGGCAAAGTTCTCTTCAAGAATTCTTTGTACAAACAATATCTTGTACAAAAAATTCTGAGCTAGAGGGAACGATCTTAGTATAGTCAACACTGAGCTAAATGGAACAATTCCAGGTCTAGGTAAAGCTGAGTTAAACAGAACGATATTTGATATAGACAATACTGAGCAAGAGTGACCAATATTTGGAGTAGACAATACAGAGCGGAATGGAACCATACCAAGTTAGAGGAACACCTGAGATAGATGAAATTATATCTGTTCTAGATAATACAATACTAGAACAATACTGGTATAGACAACACTAAGCTTGAGAGGGAACAATATCTGGTCTAGCTAGATGGAACAATATTTCATAGACAATACAGAGCTAGATGGAACAATGTCTTGTCTAGACAATGTCAAGCTAGATGGAACAATATTTCATATAGACAATAGAGAGCTTGATGGAACAATGTGTCAGCTAGACAATGTCTAGCTAGATGGAACAATGTTTCACATAGACAATACACAGCTAGATGGAAGAATATCTGCTCTAGACAAGGTTTAGCTAGATGGAACAATATTCGATACAGGAAATATGGAGCTAGATGGAACAATATTTGAAAGAAACAATACAGAGCTAAATGGAGCAATATCTGATCTAGACAACGTCTAGCTAGATGGAACAATATTTGATGTAAACAATATGAAGCTCGATGGAACAATATCTGGTCTAGACATCATCTAGCTAGATGGAACAATATCTGGTCTAGACAACGTCTAACTAGATGGAACAATATTTGATGTAGACAATATAAAGCTTGGTGGAACAATATCTGGTCTAGACAACATGTAGCTAGATGGAACAATATTTGATGTAGACAATACGGAGCTTGATGGAATTATATCTGGTCTAGAAAACGTCTAGCTAGATGGAACAATATTTGATATAGACAATACGGAGCTAGATGGAACAATGTCTGATCTACGCAATGTCTAGCTAGATGGAATAATATCTGGTCTAGACAAGGTCTACCTAGATGGAACAATATTCAATACAGAAAATATGGAGCTAGATGGAACAATATCTGGTCTAGACAACATCTAGCTAGATGGAACAATATTTGATGTAGACAATATGAATCTTGATGGAACAATATCTTGTCTAGTCAATGCCTAGCTAGATGGAACAATATTAGATATAGACAATACTAAGCTTGAAAGGGAGTAATGTCTAGTCTAGAAAATCCCTAGCTACATGGAACGATATTTGATATAGACAATATGGAGCTAGATGGAATAAAATGTGGTCTAGATAACGTCTAGCTAGATGGAACAATTTTTGATATAGACAATATGTAACTTGATGGAACAATATCTCGTCTAGACAATGTCTAGCTAGATGGAACAATATTTGATGTAGACAATATAAAGTTAGATGGAACAATATCTGGTCTAGACAACGTCTAGCTAGGTGGAACAATATCTGGTCTAGATAACGTCTAGCTAGATGGAACAATAATTGATATAGACAACATGAAGCTTGATGGAACGATATCTGGTCTAGACAACATCTAGCTAGATGGAACAATATTTGATATAGACAATATGGAACTAGATGGAACAGTACCTGGTCTAGACAACGTCTAGCTAGATGGAACAATATTTGATATAGACAATATGAAGCTTGGTGGAACAATATCTGGTATAGACAACGTCTAGCTAGATGGAACAATATTTGATATAGACAATATGGAACTAGATGGAACAGTACCTGGTCTAGATAACGTCTAGCTAGATGGAACAATATTTGATATAGACAATATGAAGCTTGATGGAATAGTATCTGATCTAGACAACATCTAGCTAGATGGAACAATCTTTGATGTAGACAATATGAAGTTAGATGGAACAATATCTGATCTAGACAACGTCTAGCTAGATGGAACAATATTTGATATAGAAAATATGAAGCTTGATGGAACAATATCGGGTCTAGACAATGTCTAGCTAGATGGAACAATATTTGATGTAGACAATACGGAGCTAGATGGAACAATATCTCATCTAGACAGCATCTAGGTGGAACAATATTTGATATAGACAATACAGAGCTAAATGGAACCATCTTTGGTGTAGACAACGTCAAGCAGAACAAAGCAATACATGGTGTAGACAATACTCAGCTAGATGTAACAATACCAGTGTACTAGCTAATACCGAGCTTGAG